CCCATGACTTACTGAAGATGATGGAGAGTGGCCTAGCAATGACCTCCGCCAGCTCCCTCAGCACCCTTGGGTGCATTCCACCCGGACCCATTGATTTATGGATGTCCAGATTACTCAACTGATCCCTAACCCAGTCCTCATCTACCATGTCAAACTCCTCATCTATCTTGACTACTTCTATATATTATCAAAATACACACAAATACCTGACTACAGCCAAAATGGTGTAAGGTTAAAAAAATGTGTCTAATATGAGTATTGTTCAACATCTTTCCTTTAGTTTACATGTAATAATTTATTTAATTGTCTGTTAATTATCTCTAAGACACAATCTCATATTCTTAATTGCATTTACTACTTTAAATGACTCATAAAATCCTAAGCACATAACTTTTGGTCTGCAAATTAGTAAATTCCAGATTTTAAAAGTGTAAATGAAATAAAATTAATGTCCCTTACACTAGAACTGGGCTTAACATGATCAGCACAGACTTAAAATTTCACTTTTGATTTTAACATTGTAAAACCAGGTAACCAGGTAAAAAAATCCAGTTAGACAATGTCAACATTACCACAGCAACAAGAGGCTGTTACATGTGGGCAAATTCCTGTGACTCCTTTACAAAGGATAGCTAGAAACAGAGATGTTATCTTTATTTTTCACATTTCCAGTCCACATAGTATAGGATTCAAAGTGCTTTATGCCAACAGAATGCTTGGGTAGATAAAGCAAGAAAAAGGCACCTCACTGGCTCAAGCTAAAATATGCAATCATGATTCACTGATTCCCAACCATGTTCAGGACTCTGTGCGTATATATTCACATTAGCTTCTTTTTTGTCTTAAATCTATTACACTGAAGTAGCTTGAGACAATGACTGGTTATTATTCCCAAGCCTCCCAACAGGCCTGTCAACATTTTTTCAATGATTTCTAGCTTAATTTACACAAGCAATTGTTCATAAATAACTACAAAAGACAGTAATTTTATATTGCTTCTTGTGCAAGTCTTACATTGCTTTTTACCTTAGGTTCCTTAATTTTTGTATAACATTTTACAGCACAGTTACGTAAGTTTTCCTTCCCATGTGCTGACTAATAATTTCAGTTATTATTTAGAAAAGTGAGATTAAAATACTTGGTTTAGGCTACCCTCTCTGAAAATCATTATACAGTCTTTAGAAGTATACAGAGCACTACAAGACGCCACAGCATCACATAGTATTTATAATTATATATTATTAAGTATTAGTAACCTGACGCTGTTCTTCAAGTTTCTCCTGGATCATTAACTCTTCTTCCTTCATTTTTCTTAACATTTCGAGTTCTGCCAGAGCTGCCTCCCGTTCTTTTTCCAGCTCAATCCTCTCCAACATTCTCTATTTCAGAGATAACACAGAATCAATTACAAAAATAAACGGCATCAACTACATTGCCTTGATTTTTTTTTGCCCAAGATGGAACCACCTTGTTTTCTTCATCTAAGATTCTTCTGTAATTGTAAATCCAATGTGCCAGATACTCTATTGGATCTGCTGGCCGATGCTCTACAATCTCTGCCAGGCCCTTTTTCAGGCAACTTCCCAAGCATCTCTTCAGGTACTGTGACTCCATTCAGATCTACTAACAACAACAACAACAACAGACATTAGCCATCAACATCAGACTTAAATTAGGGTTTTTTTAAGAATTCTTGCCTCAGGCATCGAATAATGAATGCAACATTACTCCTTTTATTAACCTGACAATTAATGAAAGTTATTTAATATTGGTTTACTTTTTTAAAACCTCCAACCACAGATCAGTTGTATCAAGCACAGTCTTATGCTGTTTGGCACGTATACTTCAGGAACTGCTTGGAAATACGCTGGTCAGCATGACAGCAAAAAAACCCACCTTGGAACCACAACGGGACATGAAAAAAAACTTCCATACAGATATTTGAAGAACAGTGACATTAACAGTGTTAATGATTACGGGCAGATTTTATTCTGAACTAACAAAGGTATCTTTGGGACAGGCTCACAAGACCAGGGTGTAAAGCAATCACTCTGTAAGTTATGAAAGGAACAGGTCTCTGCGCACACACAAGGTTTGACAGGCCCTGCACCAGTAAACACACAGTACATATGAAATCTGACTTTTGCGATGCTAAAACACCCTCCGTTTGCTGCCAACCCGTGTCAGGCGGCCCCAGCCCGGCGGAGCCAGGATCCGGGACCCAGAACACCTCACTGTCCACACTGGCTCCTGAAGTGACAGCTGCTGAGCAGCTGTCAGGACCCTGAGGGCGCTAGCGGACCTTAATTATCCTAATCACTTTCACCTGCTGCCTCCACCCTCTGCCCAGGGCTCTATTTAAGGTCAGGCCGGGGCGCTCACCTTTCCCCGGTTCCGCTCCCCTGGTGCCGTTCGGCTTTCCGGAGTGGACCTAGCACGGAACCGCGCCTCATCCCGCGCTCCGTGGGCGGTCACCGGGATCCGGTGCTGTCACCACCACGCCCCCGGCACGGGGTGAGGTACCGGCCCGGCCCGCGCTGTGCCTGCCCGGGGCTCCCGCCGCCCGTCCGAGGG